TATATCAATCTTGCACCACTACGCGGTCGACGACAAAGCGAAAGCGAGCCGTCGTTGTTGCAGCGACTGCCGCTGCTGTTGTTATTGCACCCAAGAAGCGGGCACCCACTGGGGCTCTCTTTCGAGGGAGTTGATCTCGGTGAGTAGCTGGTTGTACGCCCGATCAACGTCGTTGTTGATGATAATCATGTCGAACAGGTGGCCGTACTTGTCCTCCATCTCGCGGGCCTTCTCGATGATGTCCTTCAGCTCCTCCTCCTTGTACTGCTCGTTGCTCTTGATGCGCTTTTGCCGGAGTTTTTCGAGACTAGGCGGCGCCACGAACACCACGTACGGCTTGAGGTCGCTGTTGCGCAGGATCTTGAGGGACTGGGGATGAAGGTTCAGGACGCATATCTTGCCGGAATTGACGACGCTTCGGATCGCCTCGATCGACGTGCCGTAGTAAGCTTTCTCGTACTCGCCGTGCTCGACGAACTTCCGGCAGAGGATGTCCGACTCGAACTGCTGCCGCGAAATGAAGTGGTAGTCCTGGCCGTCGACCTCCGACTCTTTGCGTGGCCTACTCGTGTCTGGTGAAGGGAAACGACGGAGGATTAAATTTAACGTTCAACCATGGAGGTATGATGAAACAGTAAAGGGTGGTACACTCACGAGGAATCGCAGCCGCGAATTTTTCGCTATCCTCCATCAGTCGCTGCCTCAGCTCGTGCCTGCCGATATTGGGCGGACCGATAAGCACGATGGGCCTTTTGTGATTAGCTCTGGGGTAGTATAAGGCCACTTCTTCGTAGGTCAGTATCTCGTCGCTGTCGTCTACAAATTCAAAAATCAATGGTTAATGTGTTGCAATGGAATGAAAAAAAAAAACAAAAAAAATACACAATCAACTGGAAAGTACCTTCGATAAAGGTGGTGGAGTAAAGGGGATAGCCATCGTCGTTGAAATTACCAAACTTGCTCCTCTTCTTTTTCTTTGGATTTTTTCTGGCACATAAAAGGGTGCTGGATTTTTTCGCTCCTCGTACCGTCGATTTGTCACCAGCTATTGTCTGTTTCATCGTCTCACGCCTGAAAAGACAAATCATGAAAAAAAAAAAAAAATACAATGAAATAACCAACGGCCCGTGTAATCATTTTTGCACCAAATGAAAGCAAAGCTACTCACTGCATCTGAAACGCTCTGCTTGGAATCAAGCCGGCAAGCGCTTGGTCCTCCTCGCCCTCGCGATAAGCCTGCCACCAATTGGGATCCTCCTGCGAGATCACGTGCAGCACGTCGCCCTTTTGGAAGCCCACGCCCAACTCGCGGCACGGTATGTACGGATCCTCCTCGGGGTCGTAGTCGAAGTGAGCTCGTACGTGGTGTATCTGTCCAAGGGTAAACGAATTTTGGAAAATTAAAAAAAAAAAAAAAAAAAAAAAAAAAAAAAACGANTTTTGGTAATCAAATACAAGTGTGTATATAGGTATGGAGGTGTAGTCGTGGCAAGTGTCAATTCGCTTGGACAATAGACTTTCTTTCATTCTTATACTCTCCTCCCCCATTCGACTCGCTTAACGCGCTGATATATTTTTTCTACTAGTTTGCTTGATTAATAAATCTTTAAACCAGTGTCAATTATTCAGTCTGCAAAATAATGGTAATTTTCAAGTGACACGATGTTCTACGCATGCCCTTTGTTTTATGTTTGCCATTTGATACATTTTTAGTAACTTTAATAAATAGCAAAACTTTTGGCATTGCCACGTATGCATCACGTAACAACTCGAGTGTGCATTTGTTTGTTTGATGTAGAAATTTTGGTGGAAGCCGAGTATCTCTCGGTCGACCCGTACATGCGCGCTTACAACACACACCTACCCCTGGGCAGTACAATGCTTGGGGGACAAGTGGCGAAAATTATCGAGTCAAAGAATCCAGAGTTTCCAGTTGGCAAACGGATTCACGGGTACTTTGGCTGGACGACTCACAACGTCCTGAATCCCGATGAACCGTCGAAGGACTTATTCAACGCCAAACCGTACATTGTGCCCGATTTTGGGGATTTGCCGGCTTCGCTTGCCCTGGGGATGCTCGGGATGCCCGGGTAAAGTATATGCTTTAAAAAGTACAGTTTCACACCGCGTGTCCTCAAAATGTTTTGACCAACTATTTCTGCTGGATCGAGCGCATCACGCACGTAAAATCCTTTGCCGATATACTTGCTCCTGCGATAAAGGACATTATTCACTCTACCTTCCTCTACAGATTTGGCGTAACACACGCTATCAATTGTTAATTTTTTATATATGTATACAGAAACACAGCTTTGTACGGATTCCTGGAGATATGCAAGCCAAAAGCCGGCGAAACTGTGGTGGTAACTAGCGCTGCTGGTGCAGTGGGGTCTCACGTTGGACAAATAGCAAAGATGCACGGTCTCAAAGTTATCGGTATTACCGGTTCAGCGGAAAAATGCAAATGGCTCGTTGATGATTTGGGCTTCGATCACGCGATCAATTACAAGACCGACGACGTCGCTGCTGCTCTGAAACAGGCTGCTCCCGACGGAGTCGATTGCTATTTCGACAATGTAAGCAAATAACAGTTTTATTTGAAAGGGAAACAAAAAAAAAAAAAAAAAAAAAAA